AACACCCACACCCCCCGCCCTCCCCCAGCTGAGACGTCCTGCTGGACTCAGTGGTCAGACCCTGGGAGCTGCCGTCGGGGTGACCTCGAGCTTTCCCGGGACCTGTGCCCCGTCCGATGGCGGCCGATCCCCAGACTCTCTCTCCTGCCCCCCGCCCCCCATTTCTGGGGCCTCTCGCTGGTGCTCACTCTCACCCCGTCCCTGGGGCCTGAGACTGAGGAGTCCGCTCCGCCTCGCGCTCTAGGGGCTTGGCCCCCCGCAGGCTTGTCCGCGGTCTGACCTCCACGCCAAGGTCTCACTCATCCCCCAGTTCGCCTCGGGGTGACTCCAGCCTGGCCTCCAGCCTGTGCCTCAGGGAGCCACTCCCATCCCAGGCCCGGCCTCTCCCCTGCTCCTCCCGGGGCCACAGGACGTACCTCATCCGCTCCAGGCAGCCCCTCTGAGCCCAGGCCCAGCCGCCCTGACAGGCTTTCCTGACGCTGAATGTGGGGGTGTCACCAGGTGTAGCCGCAGGCCAGCGCCCTCCGGTCCGTGGCTCAGGCACCTGCCTCCACCCGCTGCCTCCCCACCATCCCTCACCCGTCACTCACTCGGTTCAGGGGGACTCAGGCGTGAGGAAGCGTCCACACGGGAGAACAATGGGGCAACTTCCCAGCCCTCCCCCGCACCCCCCCCCGCACGTGGAGCTGAGCCTCGACACCCCCAAGCAGGGAGAACCAGGCCTGAGACCCGCGATGCTGGACGCAGAGTCAGCACGCGGGGCAGCGCGTGGTGGGGAGGGAGACATCTCCCGGGAAGCACGGCCACATCCCGGCTGTGAGTGGGGCTGTGGCTCTGGAGCCAGCCGTCACCTCCACGCCCACGTTTCCCGGCTGAACCAGAGTTTGCGAAGGCACCGGCCTGGTCTTAGCTGCTGACGTCGGAGCCGTCACGTTCCCCCCTCAGGAGGAGCCCGTGTGGCCAGAGGCCCCCAGAGGCCCCCAGAGGGCAGGTGTCGGAGTGGCCGGGGCCCCCAGCTTTTGGAAAACATCTGACCGGGCAGGGTGGGGTGGGGTGAAACACTTTATCGTTTTTCCCGTTTCCTGGAACCTGTGTGATGCTGGTTTCTCTTTCTTCAGAAAGAGCTGAGGAAGCGCTCAATCGTCCTGACGCCCCGGCCACCGCCCAGGACCAACAGATCCCAGTCTGTGTGACCGCGAGCCGGGGCCCGCCTGCTTCTCCTACAACCTGGGCAACCGACCACTTTCTAAAGTTTATTTATATTTTTACTGACGTCAGAGAGGAAGGGAGAGGGGGAGAGAGAGAAACATCAGTGATGAGAGAGAATCACGGATCAGCTGCCTCCTGCATGCCCCACACTGGGGATCGAGCCCACAACCCGGGCAGATGCCCTTGACCAGAATCGAACCCGGGACCCTTCAGCCGCTGCTCAACCACTGAGCCACACCGGCCGGGGCCGGGCGGTCACTTTCACCGCATCGGACAAGTGAGAGGAGGGGCACAGGAGAGGCGCGCTGTGCGCACGGCTGCCGGGGGCGTCTGCGTCTGAGCCTGGAGCTGTGACTGGGCCCTTTCTCGGCCCCTCGGCCCCGTCTCTCCTGGATGTTTCTCTCGGGTTTCCTGACGGAGTGGCACACGCATGGCCGGAGGCGGGGGTGGGCTTCCCGTGTGACCCCAGGCCCCCCCCCGCCCTTCCCAGGCCCTCAGGGGAGAGGGGGGGCATCACTCCAAGACGGCGATGCCTGGTGTTGCTCAGTGGTTAGATTCTCGGTCAAGGGCACGGACCTGGGTCGCAGCTTCGTTTCCTGACCCTGGCGGGGACTTGTGTGGGAGGCAACCAATCCGTGTGTCTCTCTCATCGATGTACCTCTCTCTCCCCTCTCCCTCCCTCCCACTCGCTCTAAAAACCAATGAAACAATATCCCCGGGCGAGGATCCACCCTCCTTCACAGTCACCACAGCAACAAGGAGAGAGCGCCGCCGGCCGGGCATGCGGCAGCCTTCCCCCGCGTGCCTGTGAGCCACCCCTAGGACGAGCCGTCTGCCCGGCTGGCACCTGCCCGCTCACTGGTCCCCGCCACCTGGAGAGGGACCTGCCCAGGCCCCACGCAGCCGTCCAGCCGAGAAGTGCTGCGTGAGCATTAGAATTCCGAGAGGCATGCGGCCTGGCCTCCCTGTTCTCAGGGCCCGCGGCCGTCAGCTTGAGAAGCCCCCTCTGCGTCCTGCTCCATCCCTGGACCCAACGCTCTTTCCAAAAAACTCCCCCGCAGGAGCGGGCAGGGGTGAGCAGAAGGGACTGGGGGGCAGCCGTGCTTGTGGGGGATCCCGACCCCACGCAGGACTCGCAGGCGGGGTTCCCAACTGAGTGGACCAGGAGGTTTGTCGACAGGCAGCCCTGCCCCGCCTGCCCCGTCTGACTCAGGGGCCTGGGGTGCACGCCCGGAGCTGCATTTGACACAAGCACCTGACACTGCAGAATTCTCCCCTGGTCCTGTGTGGGGCCCGGTGCTCCTCCCTCTCCCTCCCCATCTTCCCCTTCTCGCTCCCCAAGTCCTCCCCCTCCCACCCACCTAAACCCCCTCAAGCACTACTGTGCCTCGAGGGCGCCCCACCCAGGCGTGAAGGGGGTATTCTTAGAAGGAGGACGGGGTGTCCAGAAAAGCCCCCCGGGAAATGCGGAGGCAGCGAGGGTGGGAGACAGTCCTGGTGGCCACAGCGTCTCCCACTGGGGGCTGATGGGAAGACCCACAGCGACCTGCGTCCCTGAAACCAACTCTGCGTGCGGAGTCAGTGTCGGGGGACATGGCAGCTGCCTGCATCCGAGACCCGCACACGGGACCCACGAGCAGCACGCGCCCAGCCCCCTCGCGGAGCCGGGACACTCAGCCTCACCAGGTAGGCGGCAGGCACACAGCCTTACCAGGTAGGCGGCAGGCACACAGCCTCACCAGGTAGGGTAGCAGGCACACAGCCTCACCAGGTAGGGCGGCAGGCACACAGCCTCACCAGGTAGGGCGGCAGGCACACAGCCTCACCAGGTAGGCGGGCAGGCACACAGCCTCACCAGGTAGGCGGCCAGACACAGGCTGGTGCGGCCCTCAGCATCCTGGCTGTTGATGTTGGCCCCCATCTTCAGCAGCAGCTTCGCCGTGTCCACCTGCCGCCCGGACACCGCGTGCATCAGGGGTGTACACCCTGGAGGGAGACAGTCACAGCCTCCGAGGACGGCCGACGTGGTGCCCGTGCCGTCTTCCTTTGCCTGCTCTGTGCTCTGTGCCAATACAGACCCGCCCGCCCCGCCCGGCTGGGAGCGAGACCCTCACCGCCAACGCCCGGCACGCTTCCTGCCCCAGCGGCGCGGTGACGGCTGGAGGTGCGTGTGCAGGTGAGCACCGTGTCGCTCCCGGGCCGCGTGTGGGCTGCGCGAGGGGGCGCTCACCTTCGGTGTCGCGGCTCTCCAGGACGGAGGGGTCCTCCCGGATCAGGGCGGTCAGCGCACGGACATCGCCACTGGATGCCGCCTGGTACACCAGGCTCAGGTCCACTTCCTCCGATGAGTCACCTGCAGGAATCAGACGCCGTGTGCACAGAGGCTCCCCTGCATCACGGCACCCGAGCGGCGCCCACGCGGGGCTCAGGGAAACCTCTGACCACGGGCCGCACCCCTTCCGAGGACAGGTGACCACGGCGGCCGCGGCACCTCACCGCGTCCTGGGAAGGCGCCGGCGGGACCCCGTGTCCCTGAGAAGTCACGCTCCCCCCACCGCGCCCCCCAGGCCTGGGCTGCGCGGAATCTGGGAGGCCAGCCAGGGAGCACCCCGTCGTCTTTATCTGAAATGTGACATTTCCTGTCAGTGACTCAGCTCGCCCACCATGGCGAGTGGCCATGTGCCATGTGCCTCCTGCTCTGTCCCGATGTCCTCCTGCCCTTTCCGGCCGCCCTGTCCCCTGAGGGCCCCCCTGGCTGCCCGCCCACCGAGCCCTCCCCCCAGGCTGGTCTGTGGAGACCCCGCAGGAGCTGGTGGGGAGGAGAGGGCATCTGCCTGCCTCCCCCGAGAGGCCTCTCGGGCCCAGAGCCACTCCTGCCCGTCTCTGCACGTCACCCCCTCACAGGCCCTGCAGGCCCACCAGCTGGTGTTCCAAAGGGACCCCACTGTGTGCGACTCCTCCCTCCGTTGCCCCTGTGACAGCTGTGTGCACACCTGGGCCTGGGGGATGCCAGGACCATGGCGGGTGACGCAGGGCAGAACGGGAGGGGCTGGGGGGCAAGTTCCACTCCTGGGATCCCGCAGGCGCTGCCATGTCTGCTCCCCCCACACTCCCCACCTGCTCCCACCACGCTCCCCACTCGCATGGCCGCTGCCCAGGAAGAAGGAACGCCAGGGAAATTGCTACTGAGTTTTTCCATTAACGTGGCCATCCTGCCGGGATGTACGGCAGGACGATGGAGGTTCGCTTACATGAGGTTTCCTGGGCGCACACACCCCTCCCCCCATCCAGAGCCCTCTCTGCCCCGGGTGGGATGCAGGGAAAGCGCGTTTAGGGGCTGCCTAGAACAACCGGAAGGTGGGGAGGCCTCTGCCTTTTCAGGGCGGGGCCAGTCCTTCAGCCGCCCAGATGGCTCCACGGGACAATGCTGCCACCCACTGGCGACGAGGAGTCTGTGGCCTTGACCGGCCCTGACCTGGGGCCAGTCTGCTGGGGACTCAGGAGCTGCAGGGACACGTGGAAGGTCGGCTTGGAGGGGGTGGTGGGGGGGGGGGGGGGGGCAGGGAAGCGGGTTTGCTGTTTGAAGACACACGTCTGAGTTGGAATCAGGAACAAGGCTCTCGAGGAGGCAGTGGCAAAGCAGGGACGCACTTTCACGTTAATAAGACGGATTCTTGGAGGGAAGACCTCACCCCGCAAAGCATGGGCTCCGTGGCGACATGTAGGCCACGGGCTACATCTGCAGGTCAGGGCCCCGCCCCCCGGGCCTCGTGGGGTCTCCTTGGCGTGGGAGCCCCGTCCCAGGAGGCCTCTGGGACGGCAGGAAGGACGTTCACCTTGACCCCCTCCTCCCTCCTCTCAGCTCCCCCAGTTCCTGGGTCACGTGTGTGACCCCACCCACCGCTCCACCTGCCAGAACCGGGCGTCGCCCACGCGTTTGCCGCTTTGACTGAGGACCCTCGCGGGCGAGGGACGGATCCCTCAGCCGGAAGCTGGCAGACCTGGCTGGACACGACCGCGGCTTCCGGATCTCACAGCCGCCGGCAGAGAGTTCAGACCTGCTTTCTGCACAGACGGGCGGAGCCGGGCCTGCGGGGCAGACGCTGGATAAAGCAGTGGACAGGCTGGCTGCTCCGACCAGAGGGCCGCCTCGCGAGCTGGTGTCCTCACGGCGGCGGGTTCTGACCAAACGCGTCCGGAGGCCTCGGCGGGACACGGGCACATGCAGAGGGTGACCGAGTCCGTGCGTGAGAGCCTGGCGTTTTCTCAGCCTGCAGAGCAGCCATACCCTCGGCTGGTGAGTCGAGGCTGCTGGGCTGGGAGGGGCCGGGCGCAGGGACCCCCTGGTCCGTCCACCCATGGCCCGTGTAGCCCTGCTCAGACCGCGGGCCCCTGGACACAGTCCAAGGAAACAGGAGTGATGGGCGGTGGCTCAGGGTCTGTGATGAGGCCATCCCTCTGTGCCTTCTGCCTGCATCGCTCCCGGCCCTGTCCGTCCGTCCGTCCGTCCATCCGCCCGCTGCCTCCACGGGCCCCGTGTCCTCACTTGGACCCCCTCCTTAGTCAGCCGCCCCCCAGCTGGACAGGCTCGTCCTTCTCCAGTTCCCACTGATGTTTCCCGGACCCCGGCAGCACCCACTCGGCTTTCTGTCCACCTGCAGGTGGCGGTGGCACCCGGCTGGCCCGGGGTCCCTAACGACACTGGGGGGCCATGGAGACGGTGTCTCTTTAGGAGCTGGACTGTCTGCCAGGCAGACCCCACACGGACTGGATGGAGCACTCAAGGCGGGGACCCAGGCAGCAGCTTTTACAGAAATTGTCCAGGTGATTCCCAGGGACCCCGTGTGAGAATCGACTCTCTGTGACCTCCGTGACCCTCCCGGGTGCGTGCCGCCTGCCATCTGCACGGAAAGCCAGAGGCCCTGCCGTCTCCACGCCCAGGTTTGCAGGATTTATGGGGAACCCCCGACCGCGCCCACACTCGGCCTCTCAGAGAGTGTCGCCGTGGCTTGCCCAGCGACGCGGTATTTAACGTGTGCGCGGCCTCTCCCGCTTTCAGGAAGGTGGAGGCCCCTCCTTCTCCAGGGGCTGCTCTCAGGGGCCCGGAGTCCTGGGAAAGTAACACATGTGATCGAGCCGCCAGCTGCGGCCACGTCTCACTGCCCCGAGCTGGGTTCCGGCAGGACAGGGCGTGAGAGCCGGCCAGGGGGTGGCGACGGTGAGAGTAGCTACGCCAAGAGCAGGCGCAGCCTGAACGTGCCCACGGCACCGCGACAGGTGCGTTCTGACAGCATCTCTGACGCTCCCAGCACCTGCGAGGGAAGCACCATTTCCCCCGTGTCTGCTGAGGAGACCAAGCCCAGAGAGGTCAGGCAACTTGCTCAGGTCACACAGCGAGGGAGCATCCCCTGCCACCCACCCATGTAGCTTGTGCTGCGGCCGCCAGGCCACGGCCCCCGAGAGGAAGCCCCAGGGAACGGGGCCGAGGTGGCCAGGTGGCCGGGAAGGGCTAATGTGTGGAGAACCAGGCCCGGGCGCGGACCTGCTGCGAATCGCTCGCGTGAACGGAGCCACAAGAAAGAACATCACACAGTGACGTGTTCACCAGCTTGGGCAGAACCCGGCGTATTGACCGTGGGGGCCGCTCCTCCACCCCGTCCAGGACACACGTGTCCTCGCCGTGCGGGGGCGCGTCAGCCGGAACGGGCCTGTGGACCAGGCTGTCGCTGCTGCTGGTCGTCAAGTGCAACAAACTGTACCAAGGGGAGCGGAGGCTCAGCTGCGGCCACCTCGCTCCCCACGGGGTTCACAGCCAAGCGCAGGGAGCCAGCACAGCTGAGCACACGTGTGCACACACATACACATGTGCACGCGCACACATACACACATGCGCATACATACACATACGCACACGCATACACATGTGCACATGCATGCACACATTCTCCACGGGGTTCACAGCCAAGCGCAGGGAGCCAGCACAGCTGAGCACATGTGTGCACACACATACACATGTGCACGCGCACACATACACACATGCGCATACATACACATACGCACACGCATACACATGTGCACATGCATGCACACATTCTCCACGGGGTTCACAGCCAAGCGCAGGGAGCCAGCACAGCTGAGCACACGTGTGCACACACATACACATGTGCACGCGCACACATACACACATGCGCATACATACACATACGCACACGCATACACATGTGCACATGCATACACACATTCTCCACGGGGTTCACAGCCAAGCGCAGGGAGCCAGCACAGCTGAGCACACGTGTGCACACATATGCACACAAGCATACGCATGTGCACATACGTATCCATGCACACATACACGTGTGCCCGCACACACATACACATTGTACACACACATGTACATGCGCACACACTGCGCAATACAACTCAAGACATGGAGCTCAAACCACACACACACACACACACACACACAGTCACGCAGAAACCTAAACGTAAATCCACTCGAGCAAACCCTGCGGGAAAGGAATTCGCCCACGAACCGGGGGTCCCGGGGGGCAGGGAGCTGTGGCCGAGGGAGAAGGAAGAGGAAGCAGCAGCGTGTTTTCTAACGCGGCTTCGCACCTCGTGCTCACGCTGCAGCCCCGACGGGAACACGACCGAGGACGCTAGGACCCTGAGGAGTAATCAGGCCGCAGTGGTTCAGACGTCAGGTTTACAGCATATTCTCAACATGTTTCCTGCACTCACAGCAGGAAAGATGCAGAATTACACGCAGGCACACGTGTGCGTATGCAGGCACACGGCAGAGGCACGGTGCGCGCACACAGCACGGAGTCCGTGGGCTTTCATAGGACGCCGACCTCCCGGCAGCCTTTCCCGGGCCGATCGCCGCCCCCGGGACTGTGAGTAGAACGGCCAGCCGGCGCCGCAGACAATGACACCGCAATGGCGTTACACAACCTCGGCTGGACGCACCGGCCGCGGCGTAAACCAGGCAGCTGCGCGCCCCTAACGGAGATGGGAGGCTGGGGCCCGGCAGGGAGACGCAGGATCAGCGTCACAGGACACAGGCCCGCTCTTTCCATGTCCCTCCCCCTCATACCGTCTTTAACAACCAGGACAGAACGGACGGATGAGAACAGAGAGGACAGGAGACACTGCTTGAAACCCCAGTTTAAAATGTGCAGGCGGGAGCGCGGGAAGGAGACCACAGGCCCAGAGCCCCTTTACACAGGCTTGTCTTATGTGTGAGCCTCCTCCCACAGGTCACACTCAGACACGGACACACACACACAGAGACACGGACATACACAGCACCAGCCACTCACACAGACACACACAGCACACAGCCACACACACACACACACACACACACATTACATGGACACACACAGAGACACACTCAGACACGGGCACAGACACAGAGAGACACGGACATACACACACCACACAGCCAGGCACATTACATGGACACACACAGACACAGACACACACATT